GGGACTTAATCTACATGCACGTACGGGCTCCCACTCCCAAAATGGGCGGTCTTTCCCGCGTGGCACCTACGTAAGAGCCCGCCAAAGTTTTTTACAAGTAAGCTGCTAACTCGCGAACCAGAAAAGTTAGAGAGCTGAAGTTTTATGGAAATGTTCCCCGTCCAAGTGGGTACTAATGAGCTCAAACCTAACCCCCGGGTAAACGAGGTACCCGCATACAGCCCTGCCAAAATTTTCCCCGGGTGAGTTCATAACTTGGGGATCTGAGATGCTAGAAGACTGTAATATTAAAAGGATGTTCTCCGTCCACATTAGTCTCAACGAGTTCAAACCCAGCCGTCGGTCATGCGTGGTACCTACGCACGGGTTCACCAAAGTTTTTCGCTGGTAAGCTTATAACCCGAGAACCTGAAAAGCTAAGAGACTGTAGTTTGGGAAAATGTTTCCCGTAAAAGTAAGTGTCAACGAGCTCAAACCGAGAAATCGGGTATGCGTGGTACCCGCGTGCGGGTTTGTGAAGGGTTTTTTCCAGTAAGTTGCTAACCCAGGAGCCAGGAAAGCTAGAAAATTGAAGTTTTAAAGGGGTGTTTTCTGCCAGTTTTGGCGGCCAGTCTTTAATTTGTTTAGCTAGAAGGATCTGCCGAAAAAACCGATGCCGGTAGCGACAAAAACTGCGGGGACTATGCAAAAAACGCATCATCGTACGGACAGCCCGTGCGTTGGCCAATTACTGCACCTTGGCTTGGTGGTTTCAAGCGTTGTTGGCTGACAGTACAGTCGTGGGCGGGTTTTTAAGCGTTGTTGGCTGACAGTATAGTCGTGGGTGTTGGCTGACAGTACAGTTGGTCCGGGGACAATTCAGTTCTCAAACCAAATCCGATTTTTTTTTCGAGAGGTCTCATGAGTTCACCTAATAAATTAGTAAAATAGGAGATAAGGGATCAGTCTAAGTATCATGTGCAGGAGGACATGCTTGGGTGCATTCTGTGTGTTATTTCTTCGCTTTAGACATAGGTCGGGAGCAATATGCGGGTAGACGTGGGAATCATCAGTACTGCTCCTTTACAATGAGCATGTGTCAGGTTGCGTGAAACTAGGGTAAATGACTCTTCGAAGTGTCGCAGGCTATTTTTGCTCCGCAGTAATTGTTTAAGAAGCAGTGATAAAAACGCGACGTGACTGCTTTAGCAAGACTAGCTCATACGAAAACTTATACCCATTGCACTTGCGTTTGCCACAAAAACGATTTTTGTCTGAACACATCTGCTGAAGGTTTGCTTCCTGGTGCTCCCGACGTTCGTTTCTTCTCTTGAAGAAATTATTGGTCAGCGGTTCTTCCGGGGAGAAACGTGTAGGAAGGATTTCTTGGGCATTAATCACTCCGTCCTGGATGTTAAGTTAGCGGTTTGTACGAGGTATGACGAAGTAAAGAATGAACGATCAGCACACCTGCGACAGCGCAGCAAGCTGTGTTATACCGCTAAATATTGATGTCTTCGTTGCAAAATTTCTGTTTTTTTTTAAAGAAAAACTTCAGGTTTCGTGTTGCCTCACTGACAATGGTGTAATTTTTACCTTGAAAATGTTCAGGATAGCTCATTGATGCAAAATATACAGCTACGAGGACTGGTTCTGTTAAAAGGTGAGTGCATCCCTAGCCAAGACAAATCAGATCTAGTTTTTATCAAAGAAAGAGCGGAGTTACTGAAAATGGCATTTCATTTCTGGGAAATGCATGTTTTGAGAAAGCTGTGTAGTTTTCCCAGAAACAGGTGCCAAAGGGACGGAGAAATGGTGGGACAGGAGGGACGACGCGAAGAGCGAATAAATAGTTGACTTTTCTGGGCATATTTCAACAGTAAACAAATCCACATAATGAATG